CGGAGTCGCGGAGGCTCTTCGAGGCGATTCGTCAGTGGACGTGGGGCCCCTGGAGAACCAGATCGAGATGCCGATTGAGTTGCAGTCGTTAGCGATTAGTGAGCTTTCCAACCCAGGGTGCTTCAGTGAATTGGCACCTGCGTCTGGATTGCTATCTGGAGTAGCTGCGGATCTTGAGATCGCGCAGGAGAATGGGGAGCCGTGTGATTCGAGCCTGGAGGACAATCGGGCTAAGTTTCAACGTGATGTAGATTTTGAGGATCCCTATCTCCTTTGTTCGGCTCCTCCGTGCACGAAGCTTTCGACATTGCAAGCGCTCAGCCGGGACAGGCACAGGGGCGGGGAGGAGCATCAGCGAGAGGTGGAGAGAGAGAGAGAGAGAGAGAGAGAGAGAGAGAGAGAGAGAGAGAGAGACATCGAGCTACTACGTTTTGGGATTAGGCAGTGCAGTAGGAGGTATGAGAAGAAGCGGTGGTTTCTTCATGAACATCCTCGGTCTGCTAGTCATTGGGAGGATCCTGAAGTACAGAATTTGGCTTCTCTGCCTGGGGTGTATGTGGTTCGAGGAGATATGTGTTCCTGGGGCATGAAGGCTAGGGGTGAGATGGGGGGCCTGGAGCCAGTCATGAAAGGCACGGGCTGGATGACTAACAATCGTAGATTAGCTGAACTTGTCGGTCGGAAGCGCAACGGTCAGCATAAGCACACGCAACTCATGGGCAAGAGCAAGGTCCGAGGGCCCCAGGCGCACACGATGAGTCTTAGGAAGGCTACCCCTAAGGCCCCACAGCAAGGGTTGATTCGCACCGGGGAGTTGAATAGCGTGACCCAGGCGGGTCCGGTTCCAGATGAGGAGGTCGAGTTTTGAATGCCCGACGCGCCGCCGGACGGCGTGGTGGAGAATGTGTTCTGGGAAGACGCCGACGGAGGTTGGCTAGAACCTAAGCTAGTTAGAGAAGCGAGGAAGCTCGAGATGGACTGAGTGGATGAGTCGGCAGTCCGTCTACACTGCGCGCCCAGAGTCCGAGCGCTACGAGGCGACGGGCAAGGGCCCGATCAACGCAGGCCGGGTCGACGCCAACAAGGGGGATTCTGAGCGGGCTCGTCATCGTTCTCGTTTAGTAGCAAAGGAGATCAAGGGGGCCAAGAGGCCCGGTGAGCAGTTGTGCGCTAGTGAGCTCTTTAGTGGGGCTCCCCCGCTAGAGGCCGTCAGATTTTTGACGAGTCTCGTGGCTTCACAGAAGTTGTCTAGCCGGGGCTTGCCATTGGAGCTGGGATTTTGGGGCGTCTCTCGGTCCCACTTGCACGGGAAGGCTCAGAGAGATGTTTTCATGCGCTTGCCCCCCGAAGAGGGGGAATCTGCTGGCAGGTGCGCCCGGCTCAACGAGTCCCTCTGCGGGGCCCAGGATGCGTCTCATATCTGGCAAGGAGACAATATAACCCATCTTGCCAGTGAAGGCTGGAAACAGGGCGCGGCCTCGGCCGCGCCCATTTACAGGGGGGGCGACGGCGGTCGAGGGGCGGGCCACGGTGATGACTTCATGGTTCTAGGAGATGACGTCACCTTGAGCGACGTAGATCGTCGTCTCGGGGCTATGTGCGGCATGAAATGCACGGGAATCTTGGGACCTGATTCAGGAGACTATAAGGAGATCGTCTTCCTGAACTGGGTGTTTAGGTTTATAGTTTCGCCCAGGGCGGTAGAGATAGAAGGGCGTCAGCGCCATGTAGATATCATCATCCGCGATCTCAGTCTCGATTGCCCGGGCCCGAAGGGCTTTGAAAGCCCAGCCGTCAGGCTTTCACTCGAAGAGGCCAGGGCTCGAGAGGCACTTCCTGTTTTGGACGCTGCGAGAGTTCGTTCCCATCGGTCCTTAGTCACGCGCGCCGCGTATTCGAGTCTAAACAGGCCAGACATTGCAGGGGCTACCAAGACCTCGCGCAGGTCTATGAAGTCTCCGACGACGGCCAACCAGGGTGATATGAAGCGCCTTGGTCGATATCTCGCGTCTCACCGCTGTCTCGTCAGTCGCTTCGAGTCGCAACGTATGCCTACCGAGGTGACAGTAATAGTAGATAGTGGTCATGCAGGTTGTCCTATCACCCGGAAGTCAACTTCGGGGATTGTATGCAAGCTTGGTCGCCACGTTTTGAAGGCGGCCAGTTCTCTTCAGAGCACGATCACTTTGAGCAGTGGAGAGAGCGAGTTGCATGCCATTGTGGAGGGGGCCGCAGCAGGGTTTCTAGCGCAGTCGATGGCTCATGACTTGGGAGTTTCTCTCGGCGTGAGCGTTCGCAATCAAGATGATGTTCCAATCCAGCTGGCTTCTGACTCGAGTGCTGCACGTGCGTTTGCGCAGCGCGAAGGCTTAGGCCAGCAGAAGCATGTGCAGAGCAAATTTTTGTGGGTCCAAGGCGCGGTCGCCAAGCGCCAGATTCAAGTATTAAGGTGGCAACCACTAAGCATGAAAGCGATATGATCACTAAGTGCGCGCCTGCACATGTATCGCGAAAGCACTTGGTGAGTATGGGTTTTGAGTTTCGAGAATGCTGGAGCAAGCTGCGCAGAAAGCTGGGCTGAAGATCTGGCTTCAACCTGCGTTTTAGGAGGAGTGCAGTTGTGTTGCTGTGAATGTGATCGCGTTGCGTTCAAGGTGCGAACATGTTGTCTGCTTTGTATCGTTTGAGTTTGTTTGCAACTGTTTGGGCCCCAGCACCTTTCGGCGGGAGAAGGAACAGGTGTTCGTTCATTCCCCGACACATTCTCTGCACAGGGTCGGTTTTCGAGCCCCAGGGCTGTCAGGAAACGGCTCGGGATGAAGAGCTGACCCCGGGGAAAGGGATCGAGATTTCCAGCGGTCCAAATTGTGAAACAATCGGGGCGTCGGGCGTCAGGAAGGAAGGAGGAGGTGAAAGAGGAGGAGGAGGAGGAGCAGGTGGAGGATGAGGAAGAGGAGGTGGAGGAGGAGGTGGAGGAGGAGGAGGAGGAAGATGAGGACATTGAAAAGGAGGAGGAGGGCCCCTGCACGGGGAGGCGCCCCCCACCACCCGCGCAAAGGGTGCCGGCCCGAGCGCGCCGCCCCATGGGCGGCGCGCGCACGAGTGGAAAATCATCCACCAGCTGACGGAGTGCAAGCTGGGCATATAAAACATCAGCTACACGAAATATCCACCTCGGTGGAGACTGCCAGCAAGCACGCCGAGACTTCACTCGCACAGGGAAGTATAAACATATGCAGCTCTGAAGAGAAGCGGCTACCTCATCCGACATGGGCTGCAACCGCACCTCAACAACATCATGACCATCGTTACGACCGCCTTATTGATGGCGTCCGCTAGACAACGGCCGCGCCGCCTACGACGAGTACGAGTGCGGCTGCGCCGCCTACGACGAGCATTACTGCGACAGCGTTTTCGGTGACGACCTGTACTCCTGCGACTCAAAGGTCTACAACGGACCGCGGGGCTACAACAACCGCCACGATGTCAGGGACTTCCAGAGCGTAGTACACTACGACCTGGCACTCGGCAGCCCCGACCGACCCGGACCCCTGGGGCTACGAATAGAGAGTGCTCTCTAAGCTGCTACAGCCACCAGCGGAGCTACCAGGGCCGCCAGACGATCTTCTGGGACCACAAGCTGAGTTACGGGGGCCCCACGCACAGATACGAGCGCCACCAAAGAGCTTCACGTCCCGCGCCCCGAGCTACGAGACCCGCCAGCAGAGCCACGATAGCAACAACCTGAGCTACGAGGACCGCGAGCTGAGCTGCCAGGGGGTCGACCAGAACGACTGCCGCCACCAGCAGAGCGACTAGGGCCACCAGACGACTTTCTGGGACCACAAGCAAAATGACGAAGACCCCGTGCACAGCTGCGAGTCACCAAATCACCAGAAGAGCTTCAAGACCCACCTGCTAAAGCTGCGAGAGCCACCAGCTGAACCACGAGAGCTACAAGGTGTGCTACGAGGACCACGCGCTGAGCAATCAAGGCCACACGCGCAGCTACGGCAGCCGCCAGACGTACTGCGAGAACCTTTTGCCGAGTCACGAGAGCCAGAAGCTGAGCAGTGAAGACCGCGGGTTGAAACACGAAAGCCAACAGCAGGACAAAGATAATTTCCAGCTGAGACACGAAGACAGCCTGCTGCGCCGAAAGGACCACCAGCTGAGCTACCGGAGATACGAGGACCATCAGCTGAGCTACGAGGACCAGCTGGACGAAGGCGAGACAGACCTACCCGAAACCGCCGACTACGGTACTCCAGCTTGCGTTATCGAGTGCTTGGGACGCACGACGTCTACAGCGCTGCGGACAAGGCACGCCGTGTACAACGTTGCGCGCAAGCTACGCCGTCTTCGGTATGTACTACTACATCATGATGAGATCACGTAACTGGACCCGCCGCTCACCTCCTCCTCTTTGAACTACTTCGGGATGCAGGATGGACATGGCGGCCCCCCTTCTTTCCCCCCCCCATGGCCCCCATGGGGTCCGGGGGGCTCCCGCGCCGACCGCCCGCGGCGCGCCGTTAGGGGCGCGTGCCTTCCGCGCGGACCTGGCGCCAGCAGAGGCTGCTGCGATAGAGGAGGAAAATATGGAGGAGGAGGAGAGGAGGAGGAGAAGGAGGAGGAGGAAAGGAGGAGGACGCGGGGGAGGAAGAGGAGGGGGGAGGAAGAGATTGCGAGAGAGGAGGAACAATAATAGGAGGAGGAGGCGGAGGAGGAGGAGGAAGAGGAGGAGACGAAAAAAAGGAGGAGGAGGAGGAGGAGGAGGAGGAGGAGGAGGAGGAGGAGGAGGACACGGAAGAGGAGGAGGAGGTAGAGGAGGGAGAGGAAGAGGAGGAGGAGGAGGAGGAGGAGGAGGAGGGGGAGGAAATGGAGGAGGAGGAGAAACTTCTTCGTGGCCCAGGGAAAATGGCCACAGGCTTTTCGAGGCCGCCCACGAAACTGAAAGAAGTTGCTCCGGAATCGCTATGGGGGGTCAAACAGCACAG